GGTTTGTCCTTATTTTAATTACTTCAATTTCCATATCAGACTGAAAAAGGATACAGTGTCTTTTATTGTTTTCTATAGTGCCAACTGTAAGGTGGTAGTGGCAAATAAAAGGGAGAAATCAAAGATGATTTGACTTCTAGATATGACTTGTCTTACCTAACAGTAGTAAACTAGAAGTCAAATTCAGGTTATATAGATATTTTCTCTATCTCATGATTAACAATAACTCTCTATTACTGTTCTTTATTTTGTATTCTAAGTTGTAGATTTAGACATAGTATAATGAAACCATTTGGCTAATTTATGTGCAGTTTATATTTTGTGAAAATTTTTTCTTTTTTGAAAATGCAAGTTTATCTGGAAACCAACATGGAGTGTCTGCTGGCCATTTTCTTTAACTTTATTTACTATATATTGTTATTTAAGTTTTTATTAGGCAAATAGTACCCAATTGCTAGAAAAAATAAGAAATTTTAACTAAGTCATAAAGAAGAGAGTAAAAATCCTTAATAATTCTGCCATCTAGAGATAAGTACTGTCATTTGTGATCTTTTTCGTGTGTGTGTGTGTGTGTGTGTGTGTGTGTGTGTGTGTGTGTTTTAACCAAAATAGGATCATTGCTGTACCTGCTAATTTATTATTCACTTTAAAAACGTAATTTCTGGTAAACACCTTTTTAAGTTAATAAACATCTAACTATCACTGTAATACCTGGTGCTGTCTACCCTTAGAAACCTTGAAATCATCTTTGATGAGTCCATTTCCCTCATAGGCTACTTACAGTTGGGTATGAAGCCCTCCTACTTTTGCCTCTGGGATATGAAGAAGCTATCTGTCCCTCTCTGATCCCACTTATTTTGTCCTAGCTCTGCTTTCTTCATTTCCTACCTAATTACCAATCATGCATACCTGCAATTTTTCTGAACTCTGATTATTTCACTTCTATTCAGTTGCTACTGTTAAAGCAAAACTCCTTATCATTTTAGGGCCATCTGCTAATCTTTGTTTTGAACTTTATTACTTACCTATCTTTTTTCCTTCCTCCCTCCCTTCCTCCTTTCCTTCCTTTCTTCCTTTTATGTCTCCCTTCCATCCTTTTTTTTCTTCCCTTCCTTCCTCCCTCCCTATCTTATCTCTCTCTCCTTCTGTCTCCTGAAATATTTGCACTTATTTATGTATTAGTATTATTGCTTGTTCTTACTGAACATGCCATACATTTTAATTGCTGTTCCCTCAGTGTAGAATATCTGTCTCTGCTTTTTAAAATTCCATTTAATCATCAACTCTAGATCAAATGCCATATTATTTTGAAGTCTTCTTCAATTGGAATTAATGCCTACCTTTTCTGCCCTTCCATCGTAGTTTTCATATACTTCATGTATATTCTTCCTTGCATTATAATTTGCCTATCTTCCTCCTACATGGATTTCTCTTCCTTTTTTTATTTCAAACAGTCACAGATTATTTCATTAACTTTTTATGTTGATAACCATCAGTAAGGAATCTTTTGTTTTGTTTTGTTCTTTAGGGGCCATGCCAATCTTCTCTTTATTGTTCCAATTTTATGTATATGTGCTGCTGAAGTGAGCACCAGTGAGGGATCTTTTAAGAAATAAGGAGACATTAAGGTTTCTTTTGTTTTAAAGAAAATACCAAGTACTGACCAAATCATAAATAAAATGTTCACTTCTAATGGAATTTTTATTAGTGTAATTCTAAGCAATCTTTCTTACAATTTTTCCCCTTTTAGGCTGGATCAGTGCATGTAAGAATTCGACGAGATGCAAATGAACAAATGGTTCTTGCTCATGTGACCAACAGGCTATACACGCTGGTGTCTACTCTGACTGTTCAAATTTTCAAGGATGATTGGATTAGGCCTGCCTTACTATCTGGGCCTGTTGCAGCCAATGTCCTAAACTTTTCAGACCATCACATAATCCCAATGCCTCTTTTAAAGGGTACTGATGATTTGAACCCTGTTACATCAACTCCAACTAAACCTAGTAGTCCACCTCCAGAATTTTCTTTTAACAGCCCTGGAAAAAATGTGAACCCAGTTATTCTTCTAAATACACAAACAAGGCCTTATGGTTTGGGTCTTAATCATGGAAACACACCTTATAGCAGCATGTTTAATCAAGGACTTGGAGTTCCAGGAATTGGAGCAACCCAAGGATTCAGGACTGGTTTTACAAATATACCAAGTAGATATGGAACTAACAATAGAATTGGACAATCAAGACCATGATGGACACTAACTTATTTTTATGAGGAATATTGACTCCTTGGCTTCCAATTTATTTAGTAATCTAACTTTGCATTGACTGTTCAATCATTTACTATAAATGTTAGGGAATAATAGGGCTTGTTCATATTTCATTAAACCTATGAAACTATATTTTTGTAAAATGTATTCATGGCAGTGAGATCCTGTAAATGTTTTAGGCTTTAAATAGGCTTCCTTTAGAAAATGTGTTTCTCTTAATTTGGATTTTGTTATCTTTGATCTTGTAGTTGACTGCGGTGTGATATGACTTACCTTTATAAGAGAGCCATTTGATAAGTGAATCTCATATTTCTAAGACTATAGTATTTTCTTCAGTGACATTTGTAAACATGTTTCTTGAATAATACACATTTTAGGAAAGAAAAAAATGCCCATTCAAAAAGTAAAAGTCTCTTTTACTTGCTATGTTTTTCTTTGAGGTTCTCCTGAATTAGGTCTTGCAAACTAAAAGCAAAATTTTTTATCAGAAATTTTGGAACACATTCTATCTAGCACAATTTAAGTTTTTTAATTATTAGGGTTTTTGTTAACGTTTTTCTCATTTAAAGATTTCAGTGCATTTGTAAATAGCTCATGATTCTCAGTGTTTCATTTTGACTAAATGAATACCCAGCCTTTGGTGACATGCAATGAAAGAATCCCAATTTTTGATGTTACATTTAATCTAATAACATAATGTCAGAATTTGTCTTTTATGTCACATTTTCATTGACTTTTTAAATTTCTCATTTTATTAACAAAATGTACCATATATATTACCAAAATATATGGAATTCCATACATAATATGGAATTTGATGTCTTTTCAAAGTTGCACAAAGAATTTGAGTATACATAACATAATTTTACCAACGCATAATTGACCTTAGATTATAGAATACAGTACTGTTAGAGCTGCAGTGGGCAGTTTCTAACTTTTTTTGTTTTGCTTTGTCAAAAATGGTGATTTGCTAACTGTGATGAAGTGTGAAAATTATGTAGATTATTTTATTTTTTGGTTGTTTTTCAAATGCAGATTTTAAGGACTTTCCAACATGGCCAGTATTACTTCCAAAAAGTATAACAAGCAGCAGTCACACATTACCTTTGAGGGGTTTTTGTTGTTGTTTTGTTTTGTCATGAGTTCTATAATTATGGTTTTAAAAAGGGATTTTGAAAATAGATTCAACTTTCCTGGAATGCAGTGTTCCTGGAGTTCTATGACTTTCCCAGCCATAGCCAGCTATCTAGAGAAGACTTTTGTTTTTGCAACAGTTTCTTCAGTCAACTCATCCTCTTTAAATAGGAACAACATTTACAAATCCCATTTCTTCACAGTGGAATAACAAACATCCAAGAAGCCATCTCTGTCAAGCAGAATTGTGGTCATCTGTGGTAATAAGATGCCTAAATATCTTTTTCTTGGTGAGGAGTTGGTCACTGTGTTTGACATCTGCAACCCTGTTCAGGCATTTGACATGCCGAAGAAATAAATGCCTACGCTACCTTGACTACTGGAGAAAATGAAACTTCACCAAATGTAATAAGGGAGCCTTTCTATCATTGGTCTACTATTACAGGGTGATTTTTTTCTCCATTGACCTCATCTGAATGTGAATTAGGGTCATGCATGAAATCTGAAGAACTGCCATGTACTGAGTGATGATTAAGAGGTATGTGCTCCCCACCCCATGCATGTCTTCTCCTTCCCCGTGGGATTTTATTTTTTTGTTTATTTATTTATTTTTTTTGAGACAGTCTCACTTTGTTGCCCAGGCTAGAGTGCCATGGCATCAGCCTAGCTCACAGCAACCTCAAACTCCTGGGCTCAAGCAATCTTTCTGCCTCAGCCTCCCGAGTAGCTGGGATTACAGGCATGCGCCACCATGCCTGGCTAATTTTTTTTATATGTATTAGTTGGCCAATTAATTTTCTTTCTATTTATAGTAGAGACAGGGTCTTGCTCTTGCTCAGGCTGGTTTCGAACACCTGACCTCGAGCAATCCGCCCGCCTCGGCCTCTCAGAGTGCTAGGATTACAGGCATGAGCCACGGCACCCAGCCTCCCTGTGGGATTTTAAAGTGTTCAGGTACCAAACACAGGTCTGTGTGAGGTTTTATGTCTACTTTCTCAACATTCAGAGGCAACACCTGTGTAGCTGTCCCACCAAAGATGCTTAAATACCTACTCACACTGTTTGAGAAAGGTCACTCAGAGTTACCTGTGGCTTGTGTAGGAATTAGCCCTACTTACTGAAAATCAGTAATGCCAGCTGTTAAAGGTGACATTGGCTCATGCATTATTATATAGAGAAGTATTATTTGCCAAGTTCAGACTAACTTCTAGATATAAATATGAGGAACTTGACCAGCATAGGCCTACAGGAAGCAGCCTGACTAGTAGTAAATCTTGCCCCAGAATCACTTGAAGCTGGACAAAAAAGGAAGTTCGATTTAAATACTTGGCCCAGGCTGGGCATGGTGGCACATACCTGTAATCCTAGCACTCTGGGAGGCCGAGGTGGGAGGATTGTTTGAGCTTGGGAGTTAGAGACCAGCCTGAGCAAGAGCGAGACCCGTCTCTACTATAAATAGAAAGAAATTAATTGGCCAACTAATATATATAAAAAAAATTAGCCGGGCATGGTGGTGCATGCCTATAGTCCCAGCTGCTCGGGAGGCTGAGGCAGGAGGATTGCTTGAGCCTAGGAGTTTGAGGTTGCTGTGAGCTAGGCTGATGCCATGGCACTCTAGCCCAGGCAACAGAGTGAGACTCTGCCTCAAAATAATAAATAAATACTTGGCCCGTGGTTTGTGATTAAGAGTAAGCTCCATGGAGTGTGATTAATCCATTAAATGGATTATATTGTATATAATCCACTATATTGTAATGGAAAAAATTCAGGATTAGGAGGCAAGCAATTTGGACTCCAATCCTGATGCTGCTACTGTGTAAGAAGTTTTGTAACCTATGGGCAAATCATTTAACTTCTCTAAGCTTTCTCATCTATAAAGTTAGGAAGGGGAATGAATTAGTTGATCTGTAAAATATCAGCTCTAAAATTTTATAACTAAAAATTTTCAGAATTTGTGCCCAATTGCTAAACAAATAGTGTGCCCAGAATTTCTTTCTAGTGACTACCTTAACATACAGGCCAAGTGTTGCCTACACCAACACCTAAGCCATTAATTTGAGGTGCCATGAGAATAGAAGGTGAACCTCAGGATGACACCCTTTTAGGTTTCTTTTTTTTTTTTTTTTTTCTTTTTTTTTATTTTATTTTTTGGCCCCGTTTAAAAAGTTTGATCCCTTTTAGGTTTCGTTCGTTTTTTTTTGTCTGTTTTTTTTCAGACTTGCCTCAATTTAAATCTCTAGATTAGAGAGATTTTTCTTAGACTTCATTTTTTGTGGGGAAGGATTATTTGGGGGATGTTTAAGAAAAAATTATGGCAGAGTACCGTTACCTTCAGTAGGGTATAAAAGAATGGGATACACTTTTCCTTTCTTCCTTAATCTCTGAAGTCACGGTTAAAATGACATACAATGTATCAGGTACTGGAAAGGACCTGAATTTCAAGTCTCTGATTTAGCTGTGTGTAAACTGCCAATTTTTGCTTGACTAAAGAATGCCAATCGTTTTTGGGGAGTCTGATCTGCTAATATAAGACAGTGCTTTTTACATTCCAGATTCTTTGAATTAAACTGTTTAAAGAATGTATATGGAGTTTTCTCTCTGATTTTAAATAATTTTGGTTTGTTTCTTTATTCAGTAGTCATTTATTAGTCATTTTCTTTATTCAGTAGTCATTTATTACTGAATAAAGTAAATTAATAATTGTAATTTAATTGTAAATTAGTAATTTAATTACTAATTTAATTTAATTAGTAATTTAATTGTCTCATATTCAGCAGATATTTATTGAGAATCTATTACATGCCAGGCACTATACTAAGTAAATATACATACAATATATCACTTTTTGTGACCTGGTATTCTTGGCGCCCAGGGTAACACAAAGAGGTAACAAGAGTCCTTTCAAGGAGTTAATAATCCTAGTAGGAGAGATGAGACACAAAACTATTGCACATGTTATCAAATTAAAGTCCTTTCCACTTCCTTATCTTCTTTGGCTTCCTTTTGTAAGATTTTAAAATCACTAGGCTAAAAATAATGGGGTACCCAGAGCACTTAGGGTACGCTTTATTTAAGCAGTTACTAGTTTAAAAACATCTTTAATAACACTGAGGTCATCATCATCAAATTACCACCCAACAAGCCTAGCTTCTTGCAAAAAAGTTAACTTGGATAACACATGGCTAAGTTTTCTGACTAATGCTGCATCAGGCAAAAACTCTTCAGTACTGAAGTCAAAAAACACTCATTACTTAAGATTCTCCAGTACACCCATGAAGGCAAGCCATCCATCACTGCTCACACAATTTCCTGCCAAATCCAACTGCTGGAAGTTTTTCAGCAGGTTCTTTCCAAAAAATTCACCTGGGTAAAGAAATAAGTGTTAGTTAAAAGAAAACAATTTTGTAAGTGAAATAGATTATTTTATATAAATTTTTTTCCCTTTTGAAATGGCCATGTTTGAACCAGTGCTTTGCTTCAAAAATAAATTAGGATTCTCTATAGCGAGGGCAGTGATTGTGAATATGATCCATTATATTATGTTTTTCCTACAGTATAAGGGAATCTGATAAATAGCATTAGTAGTGGTATAGCAAACAAATAGAAATGAATTACATATTTTTCCACTTTTCCTGACTTCTTGGAAATGGAAGGTTGGTTAAAAATTGAGATGTGAGGGATGTTATGAAATATTCAGTCCTTGTTTTCAAAACTGGAGTCAAACTTTAGCACTATTAGGTCATTTCCTCTTCTGGAGAAGTAAACATTTTCCTCTTCAATAGAAGTACCTATTGTTTCTTTGGGTATGGAATGTTTCTCACTGTAAACTTCAGTAAGTGAGCTTCCTTCACTATGTTTTTCTTTGTTTATAACCCTTCCTAGCCTCCTTAGGAAGTTCCTCCATTCTTTACAGAATAGGGCACCCTGAAGTACCTCCTAAAATATCAAGGTGGATATCCTGTCCTCTGATACACAAAGAATGCAGGCCTTTTTAGTGTTCATTGTTTATTCCAATGTTACCAGTTTAGATGGGATTGGAACTCAGGTGAATCTTGCAATAAGAGAGCATATCTCTCATTCAGGTCATATACCATCACGCAAAATGGCCAGTATACAACATAAAGAGTTCACATAGCTCCATATGAATTGTATGTCTTAGATTGTACAACGTGTTCGCACTGCCCTCTGTCCTGGCCTTTTCTAGGTAAGTAAGTTCACTCTGAAATACAGGGTAGACAATCAGGCAGACTGGATAAGGGAACTCTATTACACACGTGCTTAAACTTTGGACTATCATCCATAGATTGCAGAAGACAGGTATGCCTGGTTTATCAATCCACATTCCTTGGTTCATTACAGCCCATCTTAGTTCTGTACCTCCCCCAGCTTTAAGCATGGAGATTTAATTTGTTATATATTAAATTTGTATTGCTTGGAAGATGTATGATGTTGGACAATGTTACAGCCTTACAGAAATGAAGGTCCAAGATTCAGTTTGCATTCCAAGTAGGAAGAGAGACTTCCTGGAAAAGAGGTTTTAAAAGTCCCTTTCTATTGTCTCAGTACGGAAGACCACTGTTCCCCACAGACAAAAAACAAAGGAGTTCAAGTTGAAGAAGGAAAGGTTCAGTGCCATTCAGACTACCTTAAGGTTACCAAGCAAAAACAGAAACCTCCCTGCCACCGATAATGAGGGCTTGAGGACAGAAATGGTCATTCTTGCCTGACCAGCTTGTGTGGGTTAAGTCAACTCAGTCATTCACTGAAACTATACCCTTACCCACTTTCACTAAGGGTGTTTACCAGATCCCGAGTGAGGAGGTTTGTGTGTTTGGGGTCAGCTGTCAAACACATTGTGTGGCCTCTTGTAGTTTGCTCAGTGCAAGTAAGTACAGTATATCCTATATGACACTCATTCCAGAGTTTGTCTTCAGTTGATGGCAAGGAGCACTTTTATCACCGTAATAAAGAGTTTGACAGTTCTTCAGGTTCTTCTTTACAGATACCTGAAGTGGATGGACTCTGTCTGACCATAGTCAAGATGCTGGTGGCAAAGGTGGACAAAACCAGATAAGGAGGATGATTCACAGGGTTCCACCCTCATGTCTCTTAACCATGGTCAGTGTGCTACTTACCACTGAGATCCTCTTTGGGCCCTCCTTTCCCTGCTTTTATTTCCTTGAAAAAATGAGACTGCTAGTCGTTTCCCAAATCTGTCTCTCCTTATTCCATAGTTACAGATTTTTATCTGGACACATGGCCACTCATATCCCAGCCTCCCTTGCTGCTAGATATGGCTAAAGTTTTGCCAAGGAAATATAGGCAGAAGTGATTCATGCAACTCCCATGTCAATTTTTAAAATAAATGTCCTCTGCTTCCACTTTTCCCCTTTTCATTAGGTTGCTCCCAGGACAGCAACCTAGCTATGACCATAACACTCTTAGGAATGGAGGCATAAAAAAGTAGATGTCTGGATCTGAAAGACTGCACATAGCAGGGCCACCACACCTGCCTGGACTGCTTGTTTCTGAACTGTTAGATGAGAGGGAAATAAAGTTCCACCTTCTGTAAACTAGTGTGTAGTTGGGTCTCTGTTATACTGGCTTAGCCTATGCCCAGCCTAATTAGTACACAGGTCCTCACTTTCCCTTCCTTTCCTCATTCCCATTAGGAGCCCTTCTTTATTCCTTGTAGGAAATGTGTTTCCACTAGGTCAAAATGCTGGTTGCCAGTTAGTGTGTCTATTTAAGGTTCCTTCCCCAAAGATCAACTTCTTTTCTCCTTCTCAGCTAGCAGAACAGATTTCACCACCTAAAAGGAACTTAAAGAAGAATTTAAAGTCTATTCCGCCCTCAGAGGGTGAGGTATTTATACTGGTTATCTGCTAAGGTAGAAGGATCTTACCATTATCAACTTAATAAGAGAATTTCTTGGATAATTATTAGAATGTGTACAAGCACAGGGACCAAAACAGGCAACATTTTTCATGATCCAAGGGCATGCCTTTTGTTTACTTAATCTGCAGTGCTTCTGTTACCATGAGGAGTAGACTGGATCTGAGAGAAACAACATCCATGACATTTAGAGGTATAGGCTGTATGTGGGCTGTGGAAAGTGCAAATGGCTTGATTCAAATTCTGGGCAAAAAAATGCTCTGGGTGGAAGGGTTCTCATCCTTGAGAGTTCCTGTATCCTAAACCAAAGTCTTGTATCACCCTGTAGTTCACCTGAGCCAGTGCCAGAGCTCAACGAACATTTTTGAGTGCCTACTATGTGCCACGTGCTGGTGATATGTGAAAAGGACAGACATGGTTCCTATCTCATTGGGCTTACAACATCGTGTGAAGGCATGCAGTCTAAAGTAATTAGTTGGGTGGTGGGTGCCATGGTAGGTCAGGGTAACCTGGGAACAAAAAGTAACAGGCTTTCCTACTCCACTTTGTTCCCACAGCACTGGCAACTGGGCTGATGTGGTTCAAGGATGAAGACTAGAGGATTCTTCTCAGGAGAAATTGAACAGCCTGCCAAGAAAAGGCTCTGTGAACAAAGAGCCATTTTGCTTGCCTGATCACCCATTATTAAGTTAACCAGTCAAAAAGTCACCTCCTTCCTCAGAGAGACAGAACTTTCTATCAACTGTGCCTTACTCCATAATGTGAAGAGAACAGTAGAGGATTAGCAGACATTTGAGAGCAGCTTCTGACAAGGAAGACCAAGACTAAAAACCAAACAGAAATGGAGCTCCCAAAGAAATGAGGCAACAGATGGAAGAGGAAAAAAACAAACTTCAAAAACCTAATTTTTTAGATAGATAAGTGATAAGCATAATAAAATGTTATTGGTAGAACCTTGGCTAACAATGTTCACTGTAAAATTCCTTTAACTTTGCTGTATGTTTGAACATTTTCATAATAAAATGATGGGAAAATTTTTTTAAGCATCCTGATTTTTTTTCAGTGATCCTAAAAAGTTACTGCATCCACTCAAAAAATAAGATGCCATTTTTTCCAAAGTACAATTAGAGAACAAGAAAGAGCTTTTGGAAAATAAAAATATGATGTGGGATCCATCATGGCAGAATGACTGGACCCAGGGTTTACCAAAGAACTTCTAGAACATAAGTAGGGTCTGTGACTGATCTTTTTGACAACAGGCTGGGTAATAGAGTTCAGCCTCAAACATTTAATTTAAAAGATGCCATTTAACAAAGAATTTTCTTAGAGAAGATGAAATAGATCCCTGAAGTAGCAATGATTTCTATCTGACTCAGGTCCCAGATTTCTGATGGGTTAGAAACAACATTTTGGTTGGCTGGTCCGAAGGTAGTGAGTTATCTCACGTGATTGTTCACAGTCAGTTACAGATTGAACTCCTTGTTCTACTACTTTCCCCCCTCCTCACTACTGCACTTGACTAGTCTTAAAAAAAAAAAAAAAAAAAAAAAAAAAAAATAAAGAAACAACATTTTGGGAGTCATGAGCAAAAATAAAAAAATAAAAAATTCAATTAAAGCTTTTGAGATTGAATGTAGTCTCTGAGGAAGAATTGCAGAGAGTCTAGGACCAAGCTCTAAAGAAAACCAAACGCATTTAAAATCTGGGTAGAGGAACCGCCATTGAAAAGGAGCCTGAGAAGTGGCCAAGGTGGCATGGAAGTCAAGAGAATGTTTTGAAAAGAAGGGAACACTCAGTGTCAACTCCTGCAGTGGGATCAAGTAAGTTAACACTTTTGAAAAGTGTCTATTGAATTAAGCCACATGCAGGAGTGCAGAGTCGCAGGGAATGAGTAGGAAGTAGCAGATGATCAGGAAGTGGAGATGTACTGAGGGTACATAAATGTTTTTAGAGCTTTTACCTTGAAGGACAAGAGAGAAAGAATGATAACCAGAGGAGGAAGATAGGACTCAGGGAGAGTGTTACTAATATTTAAAATGGGAGAAATTTTAGCAACTTGAAATACTGATAGAAGGGAGCCAGTAACAAGGGGCATAATTGATGGAATGATGTCCCTGTACAGGAGTGACAGCGGAGCTGGGATCTCAAGCACAACTAGAGTAAAGAGACCGCCCTTAGATAGGGGGAGAGCAATCTACTGTAATGTAACAGGAGAAGGAGAGGAAATAACAATCACATCCTCTGTGAAAGGGGAGAATTGGGAGACTGTTGGATTGGGGGAAGAAAGTTTGAAGTATAGTTTATGTAGAGAGTGTTGAATACAGAAGTATAGTAAGATTACCAGGAAATGTTGAGAAAGATTGTATTTATTCATGGTTTTGTTTTGTTTCGTTTTGTTTTGTTTTGTTTTGTTTTGTTTGAGACAGTCTCACTATGTTGCCCAGGCTAGAGTGCCTTGGTGTCAGCCT